ACAATCTCTTCTGCAGTTTATTTAAGGCTATTGATATAGGCTTCAATATACTGAGCATATCTTCTACATTCCTCTTTAATCCAATGTTAGATACTTTGGATGAGATACTTCCATCTGTTTTATCACGGTTTTCTTCACAATTTTTTACGAGAATAGGCCAGTTCTTAACAGATTGCTCAAAACAATCAACCACAGAATTCCATCAAACGTCTTGAGGGAGAATTAGTTTGGATCCTCCTGCTTGCTTCAGTGAAGCTGAAGCAAAATGGTTGTTATGGAAGTATTTTGTTATTACAACATTTTCTTTTATTCCTGGAGAAGTATTTAAGTCTTTGGCTAAAAGATGCATTAAATGGGCACTGCAGCCATATGTTATTAAGGTCCTTCCATTTCTTCTTCTAAGTATCTTCTCATCTTTGTCATATTCACAGCATTGTCTGTGACAAAACTGCACACGTGACAGTTAAACTGTAAACAAAAATTCATGACAGCTTTTACTGCCACTTCTTTTAAATATTTTGCTGTGTGGGCATTTCCCCATGTATCTATTGTTTCTGAAAGATATGCAACCCCATCTTTTGTTGTTACACAGGCACATATTACTGGATCATTGTGTACATTGCTCCACCCATCAAGGCTTAAACTGGCAAATTTTCCCTCAGTATTTCTTGCACACTGTTCTAGTTCCTTTTCATACACTGTATCTAGCAGCCTTCCACCAATGTCTGCTCTACCAGGTGGAGTGTAGCCTGGTCATAAGGACTCAACCATGTCAATGAAGCATTTATTGTCAACAATGCGAAAAGGAGAATTTGTGGCATAAATGAACCAAGCAATCTTTTCATCTATGGTGTCTTGTTGGTATTTGCTGGTAACTAAATGTGTGTGTGTGTGTGTGTGTGTGTGTGTGTGTGAGACAGAGCCATTAATTCATTTTTATGAGATTGTAAGTGTAGCTTTAGCATGTTTGTGATGTGATTAAATTGTAACGGTTATTTTTTAAACGAGAGAAATTTAGTATTAAAAATAAATAAATAAATAAAAAAAATCTGATTTAAATTTTTTTTAAATCTGATTTTTATCCACCCTGACTGAAAATATCTGACAGGGGCTTATGGATTCAGGATACTGATTTTTCACTTTAATGTTTTAGGAAATTATAAGAAACTTAGGTTTTAACAGATTTTGTATTGAAATTCAGATTTCAACAAAAACAGGTTTATTTTTAAAAGGAATGCTTATAATTTAAACAAAAAGTAGAAAAAAATATTTTAACCAATCTTGAAGGATACCTAGACTAGAAGGACATTGGGTCTCACCTAATATAGTTATCTGTAGGCTCCTTAATCACTTAGGAATCAACATCCCTTTTTCAAGTGTTAAGTACTTTTGACCCAACATCTTATTGAAAAACAAAAATTGCCCTAAACCATATAAGCACTTTTGAAAACAATGTTACATAAATTTTCCCCCTAAAAATAGAGTTTAACTTTGTGAAGTAGACACCAGGGCTCTATGCTGTCTTTCCTTCTTTTTTTCCCTTTTGCATAGATTTCCCCAGCAAATACGCAGAGGTTTCAAATAAAAATATCTTTTTTAAAATTGCCATCCCTCCAAACTCTGCCTAGGATCTGAAAGTCAGATTGAAATCTTTCCTTCACTAATGATCAGTTATATAAATTCTACAAGGCAAATCAGACATATATGCCTAACCCTACTGTTTTCTACTTCTACTTTTTACTACCACTTATACAAATTCACTGTCTTCATGGGTGGGTTGATTCAGCTGTACTTGACTAGAAATCACACAAATGCTTTAGTTAATATACAAAGAAGAAACACAATTCAGCTCAATCCCTCACCTGTTAGTTAAGAATTCACCAATTTTACATGATGATTTTGCAGAAAAGAATTGTACTTTGAGCAATTTATTCAATTTTTCTATTCTGAACTCTGCCCCCACACAGTCTGGATTTGGGGCTGTTTTCTCCCACACCCATTCAATTAGTTTGTGCATTATTTCTCCATCCTACTCTTTGTTTTTGTAAGTTAATGGAACCTACTTTTTTCTAACAAGTACATCTTGTTCCCCGAATGAAATACTCTTGTATTTACATAACCTCAAAACACATGTCCCTTATCAATTTGGGTGCTGCCCTAAAGCGCTTCTGGTATTTTCTTCACAAAAAAATGGTAAAAAAAATTGAGATAAAACGTCCTTTTTATTCATGCTGATGTGTGCATGTCCCAATTAATTTGTCAAGGATATACCTGAAGGCCATATCCTCTGTTAGTATCAAATTGAGTGACCAGGTGTCCCTCCACCAGCTCTATTCTAGTGCTTTGCTTAAATAAAGCAGAACATATTACTTGAGGACATAAAATTGTGTCTAGAAAAGAAAGAGGTAGGCATTGGCATGCTGCCTTCTGGGAACAGCAGAAAGGTGTGTCTTAAGGGACAGTACAGTTTATGTTCTTATTCAATTTCCATAAATATTTTCTTTGAGTATCTATGCAACACTGATAAGAAGGGTGAAGCCTGCTTGTTTTCTTTCAGTTAGTTGAACAGCCTCACATTAAAGGACAAAAACAAGACCAAATGATAAAAAAATTGAAGTTCTACTGTTGAGCCCCAGCTCAAGTCTGGGATCGTGCCCGGTATGCAAAAGCCAATAAAGATACCAGGGGTGAAAGTATAAAGATTTATTGCTAGCAATACAAGGTGCAAGCGGAATAATTTCACGTAACAAGCACACAGAGTCTTAATTATGAGCATCTTTTATACAGGAGTATTGGACCTTCATAAGCATTCTTGTTTGCTAATTGGTTATAAGGGAGTGACGCAAGGAGTTCTTTACTGAGCATGTCTCTATACCTGTGTTTTAGCTATGTATCTCATTTCCATACATGTATGTTTCATTAGCATACTTTCTCCCCACCTAGGGGTGTGAATCTTAATATTTAAATCAGCTCTTTGCCCTACTCCACTAATTCTGTTTTTGTTTTCAAGCCTCCTTTATCTAAGACTGTCTTCTCCTTATCATTGCAATTGAGCATTAGTTACAGAACAGAGACTTTTGCTTGGGCTATGTGTAGTGGTTTCTAGGTCAAACCTAACACTACTACATATCACAAGAAATACATAAAACCACTAGTTTTTAAAAAACAATAGCATTAAAAACAGTGGTGATGCGTAGGGGGTGCATGTGCACCCCCTGACCAGCTGCATTCCCCATTTAGGCGATGGGCAGGGGGGGCAGGCGGGAACACTGGCTGCGGAGTGGGAGCGCCAGATGTAGTGCCACGGCCACTTCCAGGAACACCACGGCCACTTCTAGGAGTGCTGCAGCTCTGGGAGTCAGTGAATTTTGCTGTGGGGGGATCTTGCCCCGATCAGTGAGATTGGCCATGGGGGAAATCCCCCTCGCCCCTGACTGGTCGCTGGCACATGCCCCCACCCCGACTAAGGTGGCACCAGCTGCCCATGATTAAAAATGTAAAAATATATATACATTTTTCAGTACTACAGAAATAGTACAAGAAAAAGGAGCAATGGTCTCAAGTTACAGCAAGGGAAGTTTAGGTTAAATATTAGGAAGAACTTTCTCACAAGGACAGTAGTAAAACACTGGAACAGGTTACCCAGACAGGTTGTGGAATCTCCACCCCTGAAGGTTTTTAAGACCTGGCTAGACAAAAAACCTTGGCTGGGATTATCTAGCTGGGGACAGTCCTGCTTTGAGCATGGGGTTGGACTAGATGACCTTCTGAGGTCCCTTCCCTAATTGTCTATGATTCTACAATATAGCAAATAAAGGTTGTTTACATAAATAGTCCATTACCCTTATAGTTTGTATGTTCAGCTAATGGATATATTAACAATTTATCTGACAGTCTATCTGAAAGAGCCAGTCTTATTTAATCTGGAGAAGAGAAGACCGAGGGGGAATTTGACAAGTCTATAAATACCAGAAGGGGAGGTATAGAGAGGATGGAGATAGGCTTCTCGCTGTAGCCAAAGAGGATAGGGCTAGGAGCAATGGGCTCAAACTGAAGCAGAGGAAATTTAGGTTGCAGATCAGGAGGAATTTTCTCACTATGAGGGTGGCCAAGCATTTGAACAGGCTACCTAAAGAAGTTGTGGAATTTCCATCCCTGGAAATTTTCAAAGCAGGTTGGGCAGTCACATGGCTGATATGGGTTAGTCAGGGATGATCCTGCTCAACCCTGAGCAAAGATCGAATTGGATGACCTTGTGAGGTCCCTTCCAGCCCTACTTTTCCAAGAATCTGTAAATACTCAGCATATATATTTCACAAATACTTTGAGTCATAATGAACATAGCATGCTAATGATCTCTTTCACCACAAACATCAAAAATATTCTTTGTGCTTAATATGGATGCAATTAACATGGCACACGGTATAAGGATAAAGTAGGCAGCTAAACTACTGTGGCTTATTTAGTTTAATGTTGCTTGTTTTCTGATTATGCCATATGGCTAGATGCTACCATGGAAGTTGTATTATTCATTCTAATATTATAAAAGACTTTGTCTGTCTGTAATGCTTTATTCGCACTCTGGTTGTCTGAAGCAGACCTCTGTCCCCACTGGCCCCCCCTCTGCCTGTCATTCTTGATGGGCAAGTTGCTAATAGTTTCATAGATGGTAGTGGTTGGAAGGGACCTTACAGATCATTGGGTCTAGCCCCCCTGCACTTGGGCAGGAAAGACTGCTGGGATCAGATGACCCCAGCAAGATGGGTGTCAAGACGTAATGCGCTAATTAGTAAAATCTACGGCTCTAAAGTAGAAAAGGAATATATAAAATACCAGCCAAGTTCTGTATATTCTTTTTATGTAAAAGTCCTTGTTTTTTGGTAAATTGCCCTCAATCTGGAGTTCTGAAAATGGGAAGAACATATGAGAAACGTATTTTTAATGCGAGGTTGTACAACATTACATTACATCAACTAAAAGTTTAAATTAAACTGTTATACCTGTTGTCATGGTATCTGTGGGGATGATAGTGCAAAACATCTTGGAGGAAACGTTCCATCAAGCTGGTAGTACCCATACGATTCCTGCAGTAAGTGGTGAAATGTCTGTGCTGGGAACTAATAATATGCTGAAAAGAGACAAGATGAGTTGCTAGTCTGGTATCATCACTAACTCAAGGATCTCCCCATATGGAGGTTTTGTTTTTTTTTATTTCCTAAGTTAAAAACCCTATTACAATGAAAAATACTTAAAACAGAAATCCTCCTTCTGCAGTCTTTAAAATACTGGTTCA